GCTCTGTGATGACAAAGTCACTGTCTAATTTCAATCCCCCAATGCCCACAGTGCATGGGGCTCTGTTCACATTCCCAAATGGGCTTTGCTTCCTCTTGACCCTAAGCACCTGCACAGCTATTCCTCCCCTGCCCAACCGCTCCAATTCTTTCTTTGTTGTCTCTTAATCAATCTCCCAAACAGCTCAAACAATGATCCCCTCCAGGAACCCATTCTGTACCTCTTGGACTACCACAGGTTCTTGGTGCGTCCTTATCAGAGTCATTCTTTCTGTTTTTCTAGCTTTCTCTTCACTTACTTGCTACTTCTGTCTCTCATGCTTGACTCTGTACTTTTGTGAAGGGAGGGACCTGGGTCCGATTCTTGGAACCCCCAGATCCTGGTCTGTAAAGTTAGTCTCTGCTGAGTTCAAGGGCAGCAGAGTTGACTAGCTACCTACACATCCCATCCTCTGGTGCATGAGCTCCACCCTGGTTCTGGGAAAGAAGAGGATAAACTTTTACCTCCAGACCATGGTGCCAGCTTAACAACACCTGCCACTTCTGGGCAGTGTCCTAGGGCAGGGTGAGCCTTGCATCTTGGTACCCTTGGGAGAGTGTTCCTGTTTGAAGAAGGTCTTCGGGGTAGAAGGCAAGTCCCCACCAGGACTCAATGCCTTTTGCGCATTTTGAGCAACTTGACCCTCAGAAGTGGTAAAACAGTTTTTCCCTTCCCCTGGTCATTAGGGAGGACAAGCTTCTCCACCCTTCTATCTCAGAAATAGAAGCTTGTCTCCAACACACCCAGTCATTTGTTTTCCAGGATTTGGAGCAGAATTAATTAGCTTGGAAAAGCATGGGGAGAATGCTAAGTATTATTAATGACACAATTAGCAGTTCTTTCCTGCAGGGGATGGGTGGTTCCAGGCTTCCTTGGACAGCTCTTAAAGACAGACCCTGTTCTCCCATTTTCACTCTAACAAGCTCTGCTCAGTGCCCTGGGACTCTGATCCCAGCTACTCCCTGGCAGGGTTGTCCCCAGGGACTCACTTATACCAGGATGGGGTTGGGTTCCAGGCTGCTGCTCACTCTGAGGTAGAGGAAGTGGACGGACCTAGGTATATAGTCTCAGCAGGGGAGGGAAAATCTAAGGGACGCAAAGGGGAAGCAGAAGTAATGTGAATCAGCACATGCTGTGCCCCAGGAACTAAGCCCAGGGTTTTATACACTTAATATAATCTTCATCACAGCACATAAGGTAGACACATCACTCCCTCCATCATACACACACAGAAAGGGAAGCTTAAGTATAAATACATTGTCCAAGGACACTTTGGCTTCGAAATGACTAGTATTCAGACAACACATAACATTGATATAGATTCTCTAGAAGGACTTAATGCTTTTTTACAAGTCCTGTGTGTGAAGGTTTGATCCTATCCCCTACCCCAAATCCTGCCCCCGTGGGTCATCCTCTCTGGGCTTAATACTTGGCTTTACCATGGATCTAACAGCCAGGCCTATGCTACCGAGCCTCTTTCTTCTGTTTGTCCACTGGGATTGCCTCCTTGTCTGAATTCTCATGGCAAATAAAAGATGATTCAAGTTAATGATTAGGAAACCTACCATGGAGTCCATGTGCAGTAAGATCAAGTATCAGCTCTGTTAATTGATAACTTAGCACTTTGGGAAATGTATTTAACCACTCTATGCCTTTGTTTCTTCATCTGTAAATTGGGCTTAATGACATTTACTTCCATTGTTGCTGACCCCTAGAATCCCCACTCCCTCCACACTTTCAGCCAGGTCAAACCTGAGCTCCTCCAGGGAGCTTTACATGGCCCATGACATTGAGCGAAGGAACCCTGCTCTGTGCTCTGATAATACTCTATATGTTTGCTCAGATGACTACACTCACCACATTATTTTCTAAATACTTGACTAGTGCCATGCATAGTATCATGTAATAATGTGTGTTGGTCACCTTTGGATCCCCCAAAAAACCAGGATGGATCCTGGCATCGGGTGAATCTTCACCTGAAGTTTGTTGAAAAAGTGAAGGATTAATGTGTGAAGTGATCATGAAGTTGAGCTTTGAGAGACGAGTCGGGAGGCAGGCAGACAGGGATGCAGGGGCTAGAAGGAAGGGTAACCAAATAGAAGTAGCTGAGTGAGCAGAGGCTTAGAGGTACGAAGCATTTGGGGATCTGTACGAGAGCTGAGAGTAACGGAGGACAGTGCAGACACAGCATACAAGTTAGGAGGAAGAACAGAACGAAGTCCAGGGCCCTTCTGCTTCAGAGTCCTTGTGTCTCAGGATCCATCGAGGCTTGAAGGGAACAAAATATTGCTTCAGTTCACAGGATGTTTTTGTTTTGGTTTGTTCTGGTTGAGTCACCAGATAATGCATTGATTTGGTCATGCTTTGAAACCATCTTAGGAGGCATATTTGTAGAAAAAACAAACAAAAAAACTACTTTTGATTCAAGTCACGGTTCAAGAAATAAAACAAAACAAAACAAAACAAAACGTTTCTTTAATTAAAAGAAGCACTTGAACCTTTGGGTATTTCTGAAATTGTCATCCGCACCGTTCAGACTGTTGTGTCTGTATTGCCAGGGCAGTGTCAGACTCTCTTTTCCCTTCCACTTTTCTGAGGCCCCTAGAATGTGCAGGTAATTCCTGTATGAAATATCAGGAAGGTGATGTCTGCTTTTCACTCCACCCTTATCACCGAAGCCTCCATACGGAAGGAGAATCATTTGTCTGATTGATGGGGTAGGAGTTTGACTTCCACTAGATCAGAACTTTTCAAACTGGTGTTGTGACTGATTAAAGGTTGAAATCAATAGAGGTTGAGATTTACATCACATAAATATGGAGAATGCTGTAAATATAGTTACTGAAATATTTATTTCAGTTTGTGTGTGTGTGCACACGTGATGGATCACGTTATAAAACATATCTTTATGTATTTATGTATTAATTTGTTGTATTGTAATTCCAGTTAGCATACAGTATAATATTAGTTTCAAGTGTACAATTTAGTGATTCAGCAATTCCATACATCACCTAGTGCTCATGACAAGTGCCCTTCTTAATCCCCATCATCAATTTCCCTTATCCCCCATCCCACCTGCCTCTGGTGACCATCTGTTTGTTCTCTATAGTGAAGAGTCTGTTTCTTGGTTTGTCTGTCTTTCTCTCTCTCTTATTTTGTTTTTGTTTTTATTTTCTTTTGCTCCTTTGTTTTGTTTCTTAAATTCTACATGAGTGAAATCATATGGTATTTGTCTTTCTCTGACTTATTCTGCTTAGCATTATAGTAGAGAACTTTCTAGTTCTCTCCACGTTGTTCCAAATGGGGAGATTTCATTCTTTTTTTATGACTGATATATATATATAGTCTATATATATATATATATATATATATATAATATTACATCTTCTTTATCCATTCATCAGTTGATGGATACTTGGGCTGCCTCCACAATTTGGCTATTGTAAATAATGCTGCAATAAACATAGGAATGCATTGTATGCATATAATGTGAGGGTGATCTGGCTGTGACATCTGTGACAAACACTGATCACTAGTATTGACTTGGCTGATCTTCCTGACTAGGCTGGTGTCCCCTTCCTCCCTCACCGCTCCTTGTGCATCTTTCCCAAAGCTGCACACTTGGTCAGTCCAAGAGGTTGACCTTCCCCAAAGAGGAGTATTGTTCTTTGGGCGAGTTGTAAAGGAGTAATTGCACTCCTCTGCTAGAACCTCCAAACAAGCTCTCAAGGTCCACCTGTAGGGGAAATTAGGGTAGTCATGCTTTAAAGGTTCCACACATATCCGAATCAGGCACTGCAGATGGCAGTCTGCCTTTCTTTAAAAAAAAAAAAAAATAAGGGTGTATAAATCTTTTTGGATTCATGTTTTCTTATTCTTTGGATAAAGAGCCAGTAGTAGAATTACTAGATCATTTGGTAATTCTATCTTTAAGTTTTTGAGGAACCTCCATATTGTTTTCCGCAGTGGTTGCACCAGTTTCCATTCCCACCAACTTAAACGTATCTCTTATTGTGGGTCTTGGTCAAAATTTTTTAAACTTCTGCATTAGTTGGTGTCCCTTGACAGCGATGGCCCATTACAGACCATTACTCCTGTGTGGTTGGCCTGTCTTCACTTTCTCGGGGCACTTGACCTGCTTAAGGAGCACCATGTTGCACCATGTTGCCTTTGTTGGCTTCATCTCCATTGTAGTCAGGACGCCTGGATCCAGGACTTCTGCTGGAGGCAGGTTTAGAGGTCCATGGTTTCCCTGGTGCTCTGTTAGGATCAGTAGGTTGGAGTCGGGCTGAGCTTCTCCATGCTGCATGCTGCATACTAAGAAGTGAGTCCTCACTTGGCAGAAAAACTGCAAGGAATTGAGTGGTTAGTATACCAACAAAAGCACCTGGTGAGCCATGAGGACCAGTGGGGGCTAAGATGCAGCCCTGACTCTGTGTGCCAAGTCATGTACCCATGGGGCTGCTCTCGGGCTGCTCTCACCAGAAAGAGGTGCCTTTTTTTATTTTATTTTATTTTTTTATTTTATTTTTATTTATTTATTTATTTTTTTGAGGTGCCTTTTTTTATCTGTTGCATCTAAAGTTCCCCCTGCAAGCCTACTGCTTTGCAGACTTCACCCAAGATAGGGCGGTGGGCTCGACTTGGAAAATGTACAGCACTTTCTCTTGGCAGTAGAGCCAAGCTGTAGTTCTTCAATCCAGTCTCATCCATGATGAAGCTGATACTTTATTTCCTAACCGACACTGGTATCTATTGTCAATGGGCTCCAAACTCTGAAGATGAAGGCTTATAATTATTGCCTCTGAGAAACCACAACATCTACGTGCACAGCTAATGAAAGGTTGGTTCCCCGCCCCTTCCAGAAGCCTGTTATTAAATCAATGTGTGTCCAGCAGCCAGAAATGTAAGGCATGGCATTGGAGTTTGGCTAAGTGCCACACATTGCTGGGGGGTTTTCAGTTTGGACTTGCTTTTTCCAGCTGTTCTCAACTGGTGTCTCAACTCAGAGCTGGAGCCTGTGAGTTTGTGAGAGACTTTGTTCCATCCTATTTCTTTTTTCTTCTTTCCTTTAAAACTCTTCTTTTCTTCTTCCTCTCTTTTCTTTCCTCAGCTCCCTTTGATCTGCCTCTTCCTTTCTCTAGTGTTTTCTGAGTATCAACTTGGTTAATCCCTGTCATTGTTTGATAACAGGTCACACACACCCTTCCTTGAGATGTGAAGAAAAGCATTTACATGACCCTAGTGGGCAGCCCTGGTGGCTCAGCAGTTTAGCGCCTGTCTTTGGCCCAGGGCATGATCCTGGAGTCCCCAGATCGAGTCCCACATTGGGCTCCCTGCATGGAGCCTGCTTCTCCCTCTGCCTGTGTCTCTGCCTCTCTCTCTCTCTGTCTCTCATGAATAAATAAATGAAATCTTTAAAAAAAAAAGTGACCCTAGTCTTGATTCTACTCTATACCTTTTTCTATTTGGCATATTTTACATAAGGCACTTACTATGATTACAGAAAGGGGACATGCTTAGATCCAGATATACATGCATTAAAATTTATTTTTTACTATTACATATTACCTTTCTGAGCCTCAGTTCTTTAATCCATAAATTGAGAATAAATTGGAGACATTCACCAGAGATTGATTTATTTTTTTCTCTTCAAGATAGAGCTGCCCAAGAAAAGTTACCTGGTACCTTCAGGCCAGGCCGAGGTAGAGTATCACCTTAGGGCATGTTAGGCATGCAGGTGGATGTCAGATGGCCCCACCCAGAGGAGAAGATGAATCCAAAATTGTACTTAATTCTATTCCCGGTGGACTGCTGCCAACTGTTCCTTGTGGTATGCAGAGCTCTGGGGACTGGTGGGTCACTTTGCTAAAGGGACCCAGAAGATATTCTAAGAAAGAAAGGACTGATACTAACACCCCCCCCAATCTGTTCTCCAAAGAATTAAAGTTAGAAAGAGGGGTGGTGGAAGGGGAGGAGGGCAGGGGGTGGGGGTGAATGGGTGACGGGCACTGAGGAGGGCACTTGACGGGATGAGCACTGGGTGTTATTCTGTATGTTGGTAAATTGAACACCAATAAAAAATAAATTTATTAAAAAAAAGAAAAGAAAGAGCTACTCAGGGGCACCTGGGTGGCTCGTGGTTGAGCATCTGCCTTTGGCTCAGGTCATGATCCCGGGGTCCTGGGATCAAATCCCACAACAAGCTCACTGCAGGGAGCCTGTTTCTCCCTCTGCCTATGTCTCTGCCCTTTCTCTGTATCTCTCATGAATAAATAAACAAAATCTTTAAAAAGAAGAAGAAAAGGAAAGAAAGAAAGAAAGAAAGAAAGAAAGAAAGAAAGAAAGAAAGAAAGAAGAAAGAAAGAAAGAAAGAGGGCTACTCAGAGGGCAAAGGGAACATGACCTGCTCGGAGGTGGGCAAAGGCAGTGTAGCCACAAAACTCATTTCTGTATTATCTTCCTAGGGCTGCTGTAACAAATTTCCACAAACTTGGTGGCTTAAGACAACAGATATTTACTTTTTCACAGTTCTGGAGCTGGACACTTGAAATCAAGTTACCAGCAGGGCCATGCTTTCTCTCTAGAGAAAAACATTTCTTTCCTGCCTCTCCCTAGCTTCTGGTAGTTGCCAGCAATCTTTGGTGTCCTTTGGCATGTAGAGACATCAACTCCACCCTCTGCCTCTGTCATCACATGGCATCTCCCTGTGTGTCTCACCTCTGTAAGTGAGCTTAAATTTCCCTTTTCTTATAAGGACACAGTCACTGGATTAGAGTCCACCTTAATCTAGGATGAATTCATTCTAACTTGATTACATCTGCAAAGACCCTATTACTAAGTAAGGTCACATTCACAGATACTAGGGATTAGGACTCCAACCTATCTTTTTGGAGGACACAATTCATCCCACATCTGTTTTCAAGAAGGTGGCTGGCACTGGGACTAGTGGGCTGGCCCTGACAACTGAGTCAGAAGATGAGAAGGTGTGTGATGTTTGCAGATCTGTAGGGTCGTGGATGCTGGAACCAGGTCCTCCTGAATCTGAATTATACTTGAGAATAGCTTTTTTGCTGGGCCTGAGCTGAACCAACTTGTAACGAAGCAATCAGGCCTGAGGGGTGAGCCCACTGAAGTGTGGGTACCTTGTCGTCAGAGTATAACCCTGGGACTTGAACCAACTCATCTTCAAAGAACCGTTGTCCTGGGATCCCTGGGTGGCGCAGCGGTTTGGTGCCTGCCTTTGGCCCAGGGCGCGATCCTGGAGACCCGGGATCGAGTCCCATGTCGGGCTCCCGGTGCATGGAGCCTCCTTGTGTCTCTGCCCCTCTCTCTCTCTCTCTGTGTGACTATCATAAATAAATAAAATTTAAAAAAAAAAAAAGAACCGTTGTCCTTTTTTTTTTTAAGATTTTATTTATTCATGAGAGACACAGAGACAGAAATAGAGGCAGAGACACAGGCAGAGGGAGAAGCAGGCTCCATGCAAGGAGCCCGATGTGAGACTAGATCCTGGGACTCCAGGATCAGGCCCTGAGCTGAAGGCAGGTGCTAAACTGCTGAGCCATCCGGGCTGCCTAGAACCGTTGTCCTTGGTCTAAGAATTGTGTCTTTTCTGGGAGCCAAGGACTCTGACCCAGCAGCTGTGCATTTTGAACTTGACCTGGCCCCAAACCAACACTTTCCTCCCTTTCTGCTCCTTGCCATCTCAGACATCGAGTTCAGATAGACACTGAAGTGCTGACTCTGAGTTCTACTCCAACTTTGTCTGTTAGATACCATGAACAACTACAATATTAACAGCTAACATATTAAGAAAACTTACTATGTGCCAAGCATTGTTCAAAATGCTTTCTGTGTGTTAACTTATTTAATCCTCATAAGCCCCTTTGAGATAGGGGCTGGTGACATCCCCATGTCCCAGTTAGAGATGAAAGGACATTGGCCCGGATTTCCCCAGACCCCTCCTGCTGTGCAGATAATCAAGGGAGGTACAGCCATCTGAGCCTGGGTTTCTACTATCCCTGCTCAGTGCTTGCAAAGCCCCCCCGTAGGCCAGGGGCCCTGTAGTGTGGCAAGAGAAGCACTGTAGTTTCACAGGCATTTCGCCTGTGAAAGAATAATTTACCCTGCTTATGCCCAAGTTAGCGGAGGGCACAGTGATCTGGAGTACCCAAGAATTTCCTTTTGGCTAAACTTGGTGCCAAACTCAGTTCTTTCACTTCCAAACTTCTTCCCAGACCTTTCCCCTGAAGGCTCTTGCTAGGTCACATGTACAAGTTTTTTTTTTCTTACGATAGCATCGTGATCCCCAAAAGGGAGTTACCTAGGTAACCAGGAATGATGCATACATAGTCTTTATGGAGACTTCATCTCCATTTAATCGGATTACATGTTCTTGGCTTACTCCAGTTTTGCAATAACAAGAACACAAAATTTTCCTCTTAGGTAATTTCCTGCTCCTTATTCTGCATTTTGCTCACCAAGTCTTATTGACCTTCAAACTTCTTCCAGAAATTATTAACATCTCAAGAATCTATGAGACATGAAATCTCCCTAAACTTCAGTGAAATTGATGACCCTATTGAGCCAAATCTCCCCTCTACATGAAGCCCCTCGGGGAGTCCTTCAAGGGGAGGAACCAGATATTTAGACTCCTTTGTATAGCACCGTACACTCAGAGAAATGACTTGAGGACATTCTCCACAACTCAAGTAGGAAAGAGGGACACGACAGTCAAAAACAAAACAAAACCTAATAATCATTTCCTATCTTCCTGATGATTAGAAGAGACAATATCTTAATGTCCCTGAGTTCATCTGCCTTCTATCATGTTACCCTTTTCTTGATGACCTAAATAGACCAACTCAAGTCCCCATTCTACGTGACTGAATGAAGTCTAGCATGCTCCCGAGACATCTGATTCTCATGATTCTCCAAAGGATCTCCTAAGAAAGCCATTCTTGTCTTTGATGACTTCATTTTTAAAAATAATGTCAAGTGATTACCCTAAAGAACAAAAGGCACCCTTAGAGCGAGTATCTGATATCACTCTCTCTACAATTCCTGGGCCAGCCCCAACCATGGAACATTTCCAGCCTCATTCTCCTTAGGTCTCAGCCTGGCACCATCTTTGGGTCATTGGTCCCTCCCTTCAGTCCTGCCCTCCTATATCTTTCATCCTGTGGTTTCCTGGGGAGTTGGGGTGGGTTGAAAACTCCCTTTATTTTTCAGGATACTTTATCTCTCCTTCCTGTCAACCTCCTCTTTATAGATCACGGCTGAGTCTTGTATTTCCTAACCAAAAAGGACATTGAAGTGTTTCCCAAATTTGTTAGCTATTTATCACATATCCTTACTTTTAGCAAAGCAGAAACTTTGAAAAAACTGTTTTTTTAAGATTTTTATTTATTTATTCATGAAAGACACAGAGAGAGGCAGAGATATAGGCAGAGGGAGAAGCAGGCTCCCTGAAGTGAGCTTGATGTAGGATTTGATCCCAGGACCCCGGGATCATGACCTGAGCCAAAGGCAGATGCTCAACCACTGAGCCACCCAGGTGCCTCTGTTTTTAGTTTAGTTTTGTTTTGTTTTTAAATGTTCCCATCCCCTTTTCTTAAAGGGAGTCCAAGATGCTCTCTCCCTTTTAGCAGCATCTGCTGGTAGAAGGGGAAAGAGGCCAGGCGAGAATTTCTTCTCTGCTGTCCAGAACAACTGGCTATGGGCTTTGAGCTTTTTCTCTTTTGCTGTTTTAGGAAAAGCACCCAGCAGATGATTGCTGTGAGTCCATAAGTTTTGGTCCTCCCATGCCCTCCCTACCCTCCTTACTCTCCCTGCCAACAAGAGGAAGGCACTATCAGGTTGCCCTGGTGCTAAGGCTCTGTCCAATCATGACATTTACCGTACCTCTACGGATGGAGCCTAGTTGTCCTGCCAGGAAATTTCAGGGGAAACTCGGACATTTTTATGACTGTCTGTGGTATCTGGCATCACACTGACACTCAGTGCAAAAATCTCGCCCACAACCTTTAGTGTCAGCATTTCTGTGGAGCTGATGGTGGGGAAATTTATGCTTCTTCCTGGCTACCCTGCCTTCTCAATCCCCAGTGCATCTTCTCTGTTTTTTTTTTTTTTTTTTTTTTTTTTTTTTTTTTTGAGACCATCCTTTCATTGCAAGAGTCTGGGTCATCTATCACCATCTTCCAGATTCAGCAGGTTTTAAGGAGACCAGGAGCCCAGTACACAGCTGAGGAAGGAGAGGATGTGGGAAGCCAACCCTAATTCACGTTAATATGGGTGGTCACAGAGAGGGAAGGCTGGTTGGCTGTGCTCCTCCAAAGAATAAACCTCAGGCTTTTTGCTGCAGTGGAGCAACTGACTCTTGGCTGTAATTCATAGAGAAATCAATGTGGGCTTTAACTGCTTTTTAA